TTGTCTAGAGCATCCTGTCGACAATATGTTCAATAAGAGGAATTGCTAGGACGCTGTCATTTGTATTCTGAGGACAGTGCGAGGCACTAGCAGGAATATTAGACAATTATTTGCAGACTTTGCATGCATACATACATTCATGATTATGTTGTTTATTTCTTTATGCCTTAAGTGAACTTTAAGGTGGAGGAATCCTCCAAAGACCCCTAATTTACTGAGATATTTATCTCATCCCGCATTTTGGGGACCCTCTTTCAGGTACTGATGATGCTTGAGCATCTATTGGAAGTAGGCCATAGTAGATAGCTTAATGATAACATGTTTAGATGTATTTTGGAGCATCATGTATATATATGTTAGAAGAACATGTATAGGATTTACTTTGATAGCTCATTTGATATATCATGATGTATTTTGGTGGACTTAGGCTATGATCACTCTCCTTTGGTATCTTCATAATGTTGGATGGAGCCAAGGACCTTAATCATATTTATTTGTGTAGCTAAGTTCCAATTTGTATATTTGAGACATTAAGTAATCATGGACTTGTATATGTGATGGAAGGGCATAGATGCCTATTTTGCATGTTTTAAAGTTTAATACATATGTATCTTACATTAACCTAACTTGCAACGTATGTGAAATATGTTAGGAAAGGATATTGTCATATATGTTGAGTTAGAATGTAGATAACTTGTAAATCAAGTAAAGATAAGAAAGTGTTATGAATTGATGTAAATTGTTGAGGATGTAAGAGCACCCTAGTTTATTAGGCTATGGGTTGCCTTTCCATGATAAATCAGGTACCCAAGATGGTGTAAAAGTGGGTGGAAATGAGCCTTGGAGCCAAATGAACCATGGAGTGTTCAGGATCTGCTCGCTGGCGTGCTCACTTTAGCGAGGAGGCCAGCGAGCTAATTAAAATGGAAACAGAAGCTGATTCGAAGTAAGAGATTGCTCGTTTAAGTGCTCGCTTCAGTGAGTTGTTGAGCAAGCATTGCTCGCTGGTGAGCTCAGTTCAGCGAGCGAGGCTACGAGGAAACAGAGCACCTGGGCAGTAGCTACTTCCTGGGGAATTAAATTGCTTGTTGCAGTGCTCGCTTGAGCAAGTAGTGCTGCAAGGTTATGCGAATTGCTCGCTGAGGAGCTCGCTTCAGCGAGCTGCACAGTTGCTAAAAATGTGAAGTAAGGCTATGAGGTGTATGAGAACTTCACAATAATGTCTAATGAGACTATTATAATATGTTTAAGAAAGATTTAAATATTTTTGCAATGTCACTATGCTACAATTACAACTTCGGTTTTAATTTGAATACAATAGTGAGTTTAATACGAAAGCAAATAAAGTTAAAAGAAAAAGTTCAGCCTATACTTTTAATTGAACTGTTGTGATTGTAACTGCGCTTAATATTATACATAATAATAACATACTGGAGTACTACAAGATGTTATATTTTATGGTATCATAGTAGTTTCTAGTGGAAAACCTAATATGCGAGAGAGAGAGAGAGAGAGAGTTATTGTTTGGTGATTCCTAGTGTTTGACTCGATAATGCATTGTTAGATTCTAAATATGAGTTTGGCCGACTCATTCTTGGTATGATGATTGTATAATTATGGTAAACATCGGGATACACTTGAATTACTACTCAAATGTTGAATGACCTGACTGTTATAGGATTAGGATTGCCTTTAACATGGTAAGCTATCACAAGGGAATATTGAGATATTCTTGATAGCAGAAGGATCATGATTGAATGTTGAAATGGTTTCAATTGTACACTTAAATTAATTGCGGTATTAGGTTGATAGACCTAATTTAAATATCTTGAAAGAGATTAAAATGCATATGGTTACACTTTACGTTTATCATATATGTGTATACTTTGACATTGATAATATCATTGATTTGGGGTATATATTTGATGGATATACATACCCTGGTAGAAAGGATTGAATCCTAAAATGGTCAGATGATCACGATCCTCTTATCCTAAGAAAGTGGGATTAAGAAGTGGTTACAAAAGTTGTAGATATTTTGTGGATAGTTGAATTTCCACATATAAACGGGTGTCATCTTGATAATGAAGATGAGGGAACCCTTATGAAATTCCATATACTATCGTAATGAAATATGTGTGAGAATTTTTGACATGATGTTATGTACCACTAATTGTGGTGCTTAGAATAATGTTTAGATGCTTTGAAATTCCACATAAGAAGATGCTTGCTTGTAATGCTTTTGTAGCTTCACATTGTTATTTATTGGTTTTCATGGTTGATAGACAACCCTCTAAGTGACCCGCGATGGAAAGATGTTCCAAGAACTGGCATGATGGGTCTTCTTCGTCTAGGTTGGTTGATGTTGACCCAATTGATATGTCGTATAGGTACTTGTTCGTAAATGATCTGATAAAGCACGCTCGGTTCGTATTGGAGTTTCTGCGGTGAGGCATAGTAAAGTCGAAGTCTTTTAACTCTGCATTTTTCTTAACTGAGGGTTTTGATATTGTCAAACTACTAAACTGGGCACACTTGAGGGTACTCACAAAGATGTCGTGCCTATATTCGGAGGTCATGGCGAAAACTTTCTATCAAAATTGGCGCTACTGCAATGGTGACCTCACATCCACTGTATGTGGCATTGACATTCTGGTGACTTCGGAGATGTGGACAAAGTTGCTAGAATATGACTTCGATGCTGAGGAGGCTGCCACTTATGACAGGGAACATCATGCTACCATTGAAGACTATAGGCGATGAATTATCAAAACCACCCTCTGTGTGTCAGTATCCAATGAATCATCTAGTAGAGTTACACTTTAGGTTCTATCTCCTCATCACTGTTCATATCCAACGAATCATCGTCTTCTTGATCCCCTGATGTGATTTGACTTAACATTGGTAGAGGTGTAGATGAGCAGACAAATTTGTCTTTGTGACCACCATACTATTCTGTGCTCATCTGCATCGATTGAATGGGTAAAGAAGACGATTGACCACAGTCAACTCCAACATATATCTCAATAAACTTTTGGCCATTCTAGCCAAGATATGCATCAATCATATAGTCTACATCTTCATTGTCATCATTACATAGGTAACACCCATTAGAAGACTTGTACCTGACTATCGAGAGAAACACATCGATTGCCTTCGAGACATAATTTTTGTTAAATTCTCCTCTTGAGATCGTTGTATGTAGTGTCGTGTTTGATTTGTATTGTTTTTCTATGACCTTCAAAAATTAGACCATTGGGACCTTCAAATTGCCTATTATTATGGTAGACAATTGCAATATATGGTTGGGAACTTGAGCTCATTTTTGTCACGGATTAGAGTTTGGAGATGGGTTTAGATTTTTGCACAAAAATTCAAAGTTCTAAGGATAATGATAATGATTTGATAAGAGTAGATGTTTAGGATGGTGGGGTAAGAATTAAATTGTTAGGTTGGAAGGAAGATAAAAAAAACGAGTGCGAATTGGTGATAAACTCCATGGAGGAAAAAAAATATTGGCAAAGCTCCAATTATAAGCATCTGACTGATAGTTACTCATGTGACTGAGCCAATTACTCAACTAAATGACTTACTCAAGTAATTGAGACGATTAACGAGTTAGTTACTCTAGTAACTATCAGTCAACGACTGGTCAAACATGAGCAGATTGTTTTTTTTTGTGTGGAGGTTACAAGGAATTGAACACAACACCCTACACTACATACACTCCTAACACACACCCCACACCACTAGGCTAACCCTAGAGGGAGCAGATTGCTATTTAGTTTAGAAAAAGGGTTACAATAAATATATAGTTTAAATTAGGGCAGAGCGATAAATTATTTTAAAAATTGGGGCATAATGGTCAACCACCATTGTTTATAAACATTATAATAAATTTATATAATATTTCCCTCATATTCGTTTTATTTTTTTCATAAAAATGTAGTACAAAATGTTAAATTAAAATAAACTTGGATTGAGAAATTGAAAAATTGAAAAAGAAACAATAAAAATGATCGGATTTTTAGATTTGAGTAAGTTTAATTATGATTTACCAAATATCGGGTTATAATTAAGCTAACTTGATTGTATTAGGATAATTTATAAAACATTGTGTATTGTAAATTATATATTAGGGATAAGAATAAGGTTAATCTTTAAATTATTTAAATTTCTATTTTTATCATTTTTATCTGTTAGTTGCTTAGATTAATATATTCATCAATAAAGGTAAAAAAATATATGAATCTCAACCTGGTCTTGATCCGACTTGAATACTAAATATTTAAATGAACAAGAGAGGATGTAGTTTTCGCCCTTTGCTGTCACAATTAACAAAGGAAAAACATGTGTATTAATCAATGATTTATAATATCAATTTAAAAATAAATAACGTTATGTAAAATTATTTAGAAAAAATAATCAGTATTTATCAATAATTGTCCAAAACATGTAAATTGTAAAACATCATATGATATCAATCAAATTAAACCAACTTAAAATGTGAGCTAAATTTGACAGTAAATCCAAATCAGTTTTGAGGTGGGATGAGTTATTCGGTTACATCTTGAAGAACACCTCCAAATTCATAAATCCGAAAAATCAATAAACTTCTTGTTGGATCAAAACAAAGCTTTCAAAGGTGGTTTAATGTCTAAAGCGTATTTTGTTAAACGTTGGTATTAATCATAAGCATTCCTTTCTTTTTTTCCTTTTTCTTCACACGGCTTTAAAACATTAAAGTCCCAAAAATTTACTAATACTACATAAAATATTTGTTTACCCGGACTTATTTTCATATTATATTATTTTTTAAAAAAGGAAATACTTCTAAATAGAGAAGCACTTACAAAAATAACTTGTTTTAATAAAGAAAAATAAAAAATAAGTTTATCCAAAGAATTTTTGGCTTCTAATTTCTATTTCCTTATCAACCTCTGCTCACAAGCCAACCCGCAAGCTATACTTCACTAGCAAGCTCGCCAAAGCCACTATCGACGATCCTGACTCTCAAACCATGCCGCGTTAACCACCGTACTAACATTACCAAACCACCACACCTGAGTCACCGCTCCATCTTGAAAGAATCATTGTTCCCCAAATCCTACAGATCAATCAAGCAACGTCGTTGTTTAGTCGCATCGAAAGCCACCCCCGACCCTTTCTATATATTAAAAAAAAAAAAGGTTTGATTGTTGCTTTATAAGGTGCACGATAACATTTCCAATTTTTTTCCGCAAAAATAGTTAAAAAAAAATGTTTGATAAAAACAAATTTATTTTTTTCTATATCAGATAATGAACCCGTAACCCAATAACATAAAAATTCTATTTTTTAAAACTATTTTTGTAAGGAAATGATTTTTTTTTTTTTTTATGTGCTTAGAAAGAGTTTCTGAAGGGGATTTTTTTTTTTTTTTGACAACACAACTTATTTTATACCAAAAAATGAAAATGTATTTAACAAATAGTGTATATTTAATATTAATAACACATTCAACAATGTTTATAATTAATAAATAGTCATGGGAAAAAAAAGGCAAGGAAAACAAAATTACTTCTCATTTTTTGTTAATTTGTATTCTTAAGCAAACAATTCATTCTCTGCAACAGAATAATAAACATGTTTTATCAAATATTTCTAACCATTTATGTTCCCTATATTAAATAAAATGCATCTAAAATGATTGACATGCACACCTTAAATTGACAGAAAAAACAAATTTTTTTTTATTTTTTGCTTTTTTGTTCCTTAACACTTTATTAAATACATCTTAGAATATATTATCTGGATTCAATACACACCACTTATTAAATACATTATGTATTAAATACATATTCAGTGGGAATAGAAATAAATTATATTATCAAACAAATTTTTTTTTCCATAAACTGTGTAGATACAGAAGTGGAAAAAAAAATAACTTTATTAAAAAATAAGACAAAAGAATAAAATGAATGTCTTGTTCACCCTTAGATTATGCATTCAACGCCCTTTTGCACTTTTACTGCAATGAGTATATAAGGGCATTTACCGTTGAGTCAAAGGATATCAAAATTTCTTATGAAACTACCTCAATAAACGCTGGTGTTTTTTGAATTCATCTCAGATAAACATGCAGTTTAACATTGTTAATTTATTATCTTGCTTTTTTTGCTTTAATGTTTCTAAAATGAACGTAGATAAGTTATCTACGTTCGCTTCCAAAATAATGTCGTTTTGGGTTGAAAAATTAAAAAATTATAATAAAAAGACTATTATAACCCTGAAATAAATTATAATTACAAAAATATATTGATTTCTGTTTCAAAACAACGTTTTGGACTCAATGTAAATAAATTATCTACATTGAATGTAGAAAAAGCGAGATGGCAAGTTTCGAGATGAATAAGTTATCTACATTGAATGAACAAGTTATCTACATTGAATGAATAAGTCTTGTTTTTTTTTTTTTTTTTTGCTTATTTGACAAAAGCATACTTTCGAGATGGCAAGTTTTTGCTAATCATTGACAATTTAATTTATTTGGGTATTTATACTTTTAACGGTGCTCCTAAATTTTTATAAAATGATAACTTAATAGGGAGGGGAGGGGATAAAGCCCTTAAAAAGAATCGTATAGATACCGTACCGTAAGGTTCATGCTCCTTGTAAAGAGTGTTATGAGTCATTGCCATAGGATCACATGCCAGGACAGCATGTTAAAGACCATAATTGTTCCAGCAGTAATAGCATAGTTGCAAATGGAAAAAATTTCCGTAGCTGCATCTAGCAACCATCTGAATAATCCTCAATTTAAACATCAGTACCGTGGCCAGCTAAAACTGCAGTTCACCATCTCTTCCTGTCTGAATTCTTGTGTTTATGAGAATCCCAAATTTCCTAATATGGAATTCTAGGACCCAGGTCCAGTTCACACCAGAAGCTCCTCAGTTTTGCATCTTTGACTCGTCTGCTTTCTTGAAGCCATCTAATATCCCATCAACCAGCTTGTCCTTGTTAGGTAAGACCGGGTCAGCAACAAATGAATAATTCTTTGGAGTCTTTTGCTTGTCTCTGTAGTTCCCTGAAGGAACTTGTGAAAAGAGGGTACACTGGGTGGACTCAGTGGATGAATTTAAAAGATCAGCCAGAGAAACATTGTCTGGCTTCTTTACACTATTCTCTCCTTCCTTGCTGCTGTGCCACAAATCCAGAGCTTCCCAAAGAGAACTGTCTTGTTCATTACATTTAGGCTTTCCGTGCTCTTCTGGTTGAGTTAAACAAGAGCTATCTCCTTCAGATTCAGAAGAATCATAACCTGAGACGATAGGTTCATAAACAGGTGGCTTTGATGTATCCAGTTCTTTGGCTTTCTTACTTAATTTTGACTCCAGATCATTCTGGTTGGAATTGTTGACAGAAACAGGACCTAATTCCTCCCATGGAGAGTCAATGTTATCATCTTTTGGGGCTGAATCAGATAATTCACTATCTGAGTTGGAGACTGCAGGACTAGCATCGGTTACTTGGGATTTAGGAATAGAAGTTTTCCAATCAGAAGCACAAACAGCAGGAACGGAAGGAAAAATATAAGTCGACTCTAATTTAACCCCAGGCATTATCTGTAATAAGGATGCCAACTTTTGATAACCAAGCTTCTGTAAATCAAGATGATAGCCATACCTATCAACATATAGTTTTCGGAAACGACCAATATTATATCCCTCTGGGTGTTTCCTCAATATCTCACTCACTAGTTTCTGACAGTCTTGTAACATATCATTTCTAGACCTCTCAGTATATTTCGTTTCAGTGGCAGGTGTAGAAACTCTAGTATGAGGAATACTCTGATTGTGTTTCTCCACATCAAGTTCATATGATTTTTGCAAGCTGGACTGTGATGTTCTACTTAGAAAGAGAGATCTCAAGCCATTTGCACGATGAGATTGGCCCATCAATGAGCTCTTCTGAACTGGTTGAGTTACCTTAAAAGGAAATTCTTGGGAGGGGCTTTCCTCCAACCATTTTTTCTCTGCTATTAACAAATCCACCACTTGAAGGATATCTTTTTCAGTGAGAGATCTAAGAACCAGGGGTCCGTCCTTTTGTAATTTATGTGCCATATCCTCCCTGACACAAACATATAGCAGAATATTACTAAGTTACTCTTTCAAGTAGTAACTACACAATGATCACCATAAAATATCTAAAGGGTCACACAACTTTCAACAGTAACTTTATGATACAAGTAATTAGTTACATTTTTTCTTTCTTTCTTTGGTAGTTGAAGTTCAGATTAGAACAAGGAAGCACTGAACAAATGGACGCCAAATGTTGGTTATTATCGACAGAAAAGGGAACATTTTTAAAAGATCTGTACAAAAATATTATGCACACTAACCTGCTTCTTGACTGGGAGAAAAGAAGCGATCCGTTGGGTGTGAAAACAAAAGATTCCATGACATTCCAAAAGGAATCATTAGAAAATAACTCAGGCTTCACAGAATGACTAACATTCTGGCCCAGTTCTGATAACTTGGACTCTTCAGAATGACTACCAGTCTTGTCCAGTTCAGATAACTTGGACTCTTCAGAATGACTACCAGTCTGTTCCAGTTCAGATAACTTGGGATCCTCAAAATGACTAACCACCTTGTTCTGATGAGCAGCCGAATCAACAGACTTTGCACTGCTTTTCCAAAATGGCCACCAACTTCCAATCCAGCTAAAGAAAGTTGGTCTTTTTCTATAGGTTTCTGCACTACCAACAGGTCTTTTGTCAACCAGAGAGTCATCAACTGGTGGTGAAGAATTAGGGCTGCGACAAACTTCATCAACCTCCTTTCCAGTTGGCTTCTCATAGTTGTCCTTGGCTTTAAATTTTCCAGATTCATATTTTGCAATACCATTGTTTTCCACCATTTTGTAATCATTCCCAGCATAGTGATTCCCTGAATTTGTAATTTTTTCCAAAATTTTGTGACTTACATCCTCAGACCTAACATTGTTATTATCAGATGACTTTTTAGATCTTGTTTTTAAGGAACCCGTCTTAGTTTTGGAAACTTCATTGGCCTCGGACAGCTGTTGAATCTCAGACAATTGTGCATTAGCCACATCCACAACCTTCTCACTATCCAGAGAGGCTTTTCGCAACTCATTTGGGGGCTGACACACATCTCTTTCAACCAATGAAGGGAATGATGATTTACCATCTGCATTTTTCTCAATGGGTTTATCTTGTGAAGGAATCGGTTGGAATGATTTTGGATCATCATCCATACTCCTTTCATGCAATGATGCCATTGAGGGTGTCCCATCTGCATCTCTAGCCATATTTTTACCCGCACTATTTAGCTTTGAAGTTGCTGCATAGGCCCTTCTGTCATTCTTAACAGCAGATGCCGTAGATGGTACAGCACTGCTCTCAAAGGGTTCAGGAGAGTCAGAGGGGATCGAATGCACACAAAACTTTCCATCACCTAAAGCCTGGAGCTGTAAGTTTGGAATTGATAATAGAAAGCGGGAAAACCTTTTATATCCATATAAGTTTTTATCCAAACGCACATCGCAATTTGCCAATTCTGCACGAAGATCTGTGATAGAGATCCCTTCTGGATGTAAACTCAATATACTCTTAACCTTCCTTGCAACTGACTCGGGAACTGTACCTAACTTTAAGTCTGAGGAAGGTTCATAGATCTCCACATTTTGTAAAGAGGTAGACTGCTCTATAGCTGAGACAGGCTTTTCAAGAGGCACCTTAGAGTTTCCATACCAAGAACCAAACTGGCCATCAGGAGGATGGTTGAAGTGTTTTCCACTAAGATCTTCTCCCTTAAGCAATGAAGACCATTGCCACATTATAGTTGCAGAACTGCAAAGAACATCAGGAGCCTTCCCTGGAACTGCGAGCAGGATATTGTAGTTATTCATTCTTAAACGGTGAAGTGTGCCAGCAAAGTCTCTATCACCAGATATCAGAAAGAGATGAGCAGGTGGAGGATTTTGGGAAACCCAATACATAAGATCAACAAGAAGAGATCTATCGGCACTATTCTTTCCACCTGCAACAAAGTACTTAAAATACATTATTGAAAAGGAAAAAATTTAGATGAATAAATTATTTCAGAAATTCCTGAAGCTATATGGGCCATAGATACTAGTATACAAGCTGTAAACCTTTTCCGATGATTTATTAGCTGCACCTCCATCTCAAATATGAATGAAATTTCACACGAACAACAAGAAACAAGCCCCTTAACAAACAAAGACACTGCATTCAAAACTGTAACCAGCAGAAGTTAACTAACAGACATGCAGAAGCAGAAAATTACTTTCATCTTACTACCTAGTGCCAAAAGCAGTTAGAAAACTACTTTTACTCGTTACCTTTCAAATCAAACTTATCTTTAGCCTTTAATTGAATCTAAATCCTTTAAAAAAAAACTGCCTTGTTCAAAAACCATTGGTGATTATTCATAAACCTAAAAAAGAAAAAGAGTTATGCGCTAGATCCACAATTATACACACAATTATACACAAGAATGAATCAGCATGGAACTGCTTGCCACATACAAAAAAAAAGAAACACACAATTTAGCGCCCCAATTTCCAAAACCTCAATTTACACCACAAAGTTTCAAAAACACACAATACAGCCCCTTGAATATTCGGAAACACTACAAGTCGTCTATTTTTTGCCTTAATTGCATGGAAGCATAACAAGATACATCGAGGTTTATCTTGTAAAACACAATAGTCCGAGAGACTGTGTATTGTGTGCGTACACTGCAGACAAAAAATAAAAGCCCAAGATGCTATGTTTTAGAAAAGAAAATGTTCATAGGCGTAGCAAAAGAATTGTCCATTTTTAACCAAATTATCAGCAGGTAAATACATTTTTGATACATAAGACAGATAAAATGTAAGGCTTTAAACACCGTGCACTGAAATTGATTTGGACGTAAATCTTAGGGAGGTAAATTATGTTGCATAATGGTGAAAGATGATACAAATGTATGGTGACACAACAAACTATAACCTTAAAATCTAGCAACTATCATATTATGCTAATTAAAGGAAAATGGTTGACATTTCAAATTGACATTAATAATAATAATAGATAACGAAGAAAAGTAACCATTGGGAACGTGTGATAGATGAATCCCGGTGCAAGCAAGTACTTCCTGGTTGGCTTTAGAGAGTTGCAGAACATCGCCGAAAGCGGTAATGTGAAGAGGACCTCTAATTCCATTGGCCCTAACAGCTTCCGTTATTGCAGGCGCGATCTTCGAAACGTTAACGCCCACCGGCAAGTTGCAATTCTCAAAATCCCACCACACCGAAACCCTCACGTTTCGAGACTCCTCCTCCACGCGCCTCCAGTAATGCGGCGAGGATGACAACTCGCACACTTGAAGCCGAACATGAAGCGCACGCGCTGGTGATGACGAACAAGAAGAAGAAAGAAACAAGAGGTTTTTGTATAGAAGGGACCTCATCACTGGGCTCAGAGAAAATCGGAATGAGAACAGAAACGGAACCAGTGGCAGTTACAGTTACCGATCGGTAGCAGCATTTGTGCGAGAAATGAAAAGTGACGAGGGTTTAGTACTAAAACTAAAACCCTCACAGACAGCATATTCCAATCCTCACATTTTGGGTTAGTTCTGAACTCTTGTTGGGCTCATTGATATATCCACATGGCTAAAGTTTTGGGCTAATTGCACATCGTGGGCCCAAACTCCTTGTATATTGGGGATGGCCACTCCTTTCCCCAAAAAAACAAAATGTAACGTTTTTTTTAAAATAAAAAACAACAGATTTGAATTGTTTCAATTAGTTTTATGGGTTTTATGTTTGTTAAGTTTAGGAGAAGAGAGAGGAGAGAGAAGAGAGGAGAGAGAAAAATCAAGAGATAAGATCCACATAAAATTGTGTGCGTAGGAAAATTATATTACATCATATAACATAACAAACATAAAACCCTAGTTTTATTTTATTTTATTTAGAACAATAATAGTCAAATGTCAAACAAATGGAACATTGTCTGTTAAGAATCTATTTTTCTGGTCTTTCTCTTTTTAAAGTGAGAATTTTCTTGTTAAATTAAGTTATAAAATTTTAAACAGAAAGCAAAAAGATAAAAAGAATTCCACTGCATATTATATTTATCTTGTTATATTTTCCTAAAACAATAATAATAAAACTTCCAGGGAACAAAGAATTTTAATCTCGCTTTAATGATATATATAAGATTTTGTTGAAGTTTAAATTGGAAAGGAATCCTTTCTTATGTGATTGTGGAATCTATTGAAAGTGGAAGTGAAAACATTACATATTTTTTTAGCTAAAAATAAAATAAAATAAAATAATACACAAGAATAACAATATGTTTTGCTTATAATTTCAAAGAAAAATAAGCCTCAATCACTTTTTAAACACAGTTTTCACTTTATAATGAAAGACAATTATTGAAGTTGTTCGGGATTAAGTGATGATGAGAGATTTAGATAATTAACGGGAGGTTATTATCAGATTCATCCACAATGTTCCCAGCATGAGAAAAAATTTAATGCATTGAAATAACCGAACTTGTTGTCCTTTTTATTAAAGGGGGAAAAAAAGTTTTTATCCATTTTTTTTTATATTTCCCATGAAGTTTTAAAAAAACTCCTTTATAATAAAGAAAATATCGAATTCAGTGCTTTCGGTGTATCAAATTTTTCTCTCAAAACAAGAGTGAATCTTCGGTACTACCATTGTAAGTACATCATTGCCTAAAATAGAAAACAGTAGGGACATACAAGGAATAAAATCAAAAGATAAGGATTTTAATGATATAAAAAATTTCTAATCTTAGAAAAAAGATACATCCAAGTGAGTGCATCCGATGCACAATAAAAATTTCCCCAAAACAGGAGTGAATCTTCAGTACTACCGTTGTAAGTACATCATTGCCTAAAATAGAAAACAATAGGGACATACAAGGAATAAAACCAAAATATAAGGATCTGAAGCAACTGCTAAAATGACACGTGGAGAGGAGGCTGTTACGTAGCTTTGTAGTTTAGCTACTTTCAGTTTTATTTATCAACAACTTTATGTTGTTCAGTTAGGTTTCCTGGTCAGTTAGTGCTAGCAACAGTCTTAGCTTAGCTTTACCTTTTTTGCAGGTTAACCATGTCTATGTATATAAGTCACGTGACTGTACTTTGTAAATCGCTTTTCCAATTAATGAATTTATCGATCAGTAGGAGTTATAACTTCAAATTTTGAATCGTACGTTATTGTATCAAGGAAAACCCTTATTTTGCAATAATCATGCATTAGTATTTGACATTAGGATGGTATACGAGAATATAACGTTTAATTTTTTTAGAGATTAGTATTTATCATGTTACAGGGTAATTTTATCTCCAACATATATATAAAAGTTTATAAGAAATATATTTTTTTCTTTTATATACATGTAGGAGATAAAATTATTCTCTATAATATGATAAACATCTCATTCTTTAAAGCAATTAAAGCCATTTTGAAGAGTAAATTATAGAGAGTAGATTGAGGATTAATGTAATTTCATTTTTTTAGACATTGATAAAAATATGTTTATATATAAATTGTTGGGCTATATGTCTCTCCTTTTATCGAGAAACTTCGATTTTCTGCAGAGAGAGCAAAATGGTGAGGTTCACTATATTTTTAAAAAGCTAGTTGTGCATGTGATAGACTTTGTCCTTAGGGGGGCGTTTGGTTGGGGAGAAATTTTTATGAATCATAGGCAAATGTGATTAGTGGGGAAATGGGTGGAAAGTAAGTTTGGTAGGAAAATGTAAAAATAGTTGTTTGGTTGGAAAATATTTTACTGGGGAAATTAGGTAACTTTTGTAAAGTCTACGTTTGGCTGATGGTAAAATATAGATGGAGAAATCATTGTACAGTTACGAAAATAACCTTCTGAACAAAATTAGAGAGAGAGAGGGAGACTGAGCTTTCACATCATGGCTTGTTAAGGGCCCTGAGAAGCGAGGCTGACAATGTCCTTCACGAAAGTCGCTGGTCTTTTGTAAAGGATGCACAGTGACCAATTTGGGTAGATTCTCAATAATACCACATCGCCAAGGGACATCCTTCGCCGGCTAAATGGAAACTGATGCCTATGCTTTTGGGTTATGTAGGCAACTCATTTAGGTGGGAAAGTGTCAGAGAAACTCCAACCAAACGTGGTGCATGTAGATGCCTTGCTTTCATTTGCCTATCTTTCTGGGCAGAATTTGTGAAACAAACACCCCCTAGGTGTTTATTTCCTCCCAATATCTTCTCCCTTTTTTTATTCCTTTTCTTTTGGACTTTTCTGGTACCCTCAAGCTTCATTCAAGAGTTGGGTTCATTTTTGTCAATAATCACTCCTAGGGTGAAAATTTTCAAATTGAAAAAAATATTTTTTTGCTTTTATTGTAGAATTTTTTCTGACATAAGTGAGTGGGTCCCATTATTTTTTTTTTCTCTTCTCTTTATAATGGGACCCACTCATTTTTAGGTGAGTATGGCAGGAAAAAAACTCTGCAGTAAAAGCAGAAACATTAAACCATTTTCAAATATAAACAAATTGTAATTCAAACTCAATTTTAATTAAGCATTGCTCTCTTTTAATTACCAGTATCATTCATTCGAATTAAATACCTGAAAATTCCCACGAAATGTTTTGAAAGAGTTCCTTCTGACAAGGTTGCTAATCAAAATTACTTTTTTTCGTCAAATTATTTCTTTTTGGGTAGAGAAACCTAAAGATTAGATGCTATAATAAAGATTTATTAAAATAAGAGTACTTATACAATAAATACACCACTGAGATTTCTAATCCAACTGTAAATATCTAAGTGATGCATTCTATTTATGCAATTTCTTTTATATAGTGCATTAATGCTGGAAATAATGTTATTGTGATGTCTAATATTTTTCCAATTTAAACTAGGACAAAAATAAAAAAAATGAGAAAGTTTAATCGAAATGCTTTGCCTTGTCTGTACTCTGTCCAAATTCACACTGGAGAAATAAGACCTTGTCAACTATCTAGAGTTCTTTTGGCTACGTTATCTCATTGTTATTTCTTGCTTTAGAACCTAATATGATATGTGTAACACCCCATTACTGGACCAGTGTATTAACATCACGTATGATATTAAGCGCAGTTAGAATAATAATAGTTAATTTAAAGTACGGCTAAACTTTTTCCTTTTTAAACAATTTGCATTTCTAATTAAAATTCATACCGTATAAAAGTTAAACCAAAATCTGTAATTATAACCAAACACAATGTGGAATATCAAATCTAGCTTAAACATATCATACAAGCCTCTTAAGACTCTACCATGAAGTCCTCATAAATAGCATGGCACTCAAACTCAACTTCCAATTCGAACAGAGCAACAACACCTCTGCCCAGGGAAGTATTTGAATACTTCTATAAAAGTATTCGAATACTGCCCAAAAAATATTTGAATACTTTCTCAAATATTTGAATACTTCCTCAAATATTTGAATACTTTCAAGACAATGGCTGATTTTTGGCTACTGCCTACTTTCCATAAGTATTCTAATACTCATTGGACAAAAGCCAAAATCCCCTGTTTTGATAGCACTCAAAAACATGTCATACCCTCCGTGGGTTCATACAACCTGATAGACATGGAATGACAACCAAAGGCCTAACAAACCTAGGTGCACTTACATCCGTTAACATATATTTCAAGTTATAACAAATGGAAATAACATCAAGTCCATTACATATAATGTAAATGTACATATGTAAATCCATATACAAGTCCTCCAAATGAATACATATATCATTTGGCAAAATAATACATAAGCTAACAACCTATACATAGTCTCTAGGCATAATTAGAAGAGGCATAAACATCCCTTATGTTCTTATATATAAAACATCATGTGAGACACAAATCTATACATCAAAATAAATCCCACAAGCATGAAATATCATGCCACTCTAGCCTGATCTCATACCCTATGATGCTCCTGCATTGTCAATACCTGCACCTGAAATTTCCATAACGCGGGGTGAGATACATACAGATATATATATATATATATATATATATATATATATATATATATATATATATATATATTAGTAAACCATGGGTCCTTCGAGATTTCTCCACCCCCTATTTCCTTCAGCATAAAAGCAATAAATCATATGATACAACATATACATATCCATGCTATAAATAATGTTCATCCAAGACATCCATTAGGTCAACATACCTTCTCAGGAATGCTCATGCTGCAATAACAATAAATTCTACTGGCTAGAGAATCTACACTTTATGAATTACACAATGAAGCATCCTTAATACATACCCAGTGTAAACACATGGCATACACATACATATACCCAATGCACCATACCAAATCTATGCAATTATATATACCATATAAATCACTACCCCTTCAAGGTATGGCAGAACAAGCACGGGATAAATCCCAAGGTCCGAAAGCCTACCTGCAATAGCTTTCCTATCAAACCTTGCTCCAAACAC